CCATGGATTAGCTTTCTAGCTCTGTTCCCATGGAAAGCTGATAAAGATGGCATGTCAGCTGTAATAGTAGGCAAAATTGCTTATGTAATTGTGGCTTCTCATCGATAAATTGCATTGAAACTAGGGGTTTAATGGTGGGAAACCCAAGCTTTGGGCTTGTCAGAGAGCAGTGACTCCTATAATTGGGTATGTCCCTTGAGGGCATCCGGAGCCTAATACAATGTTACAAGAGCTATGGGCTCTTGTGGGGTAGGGCTTCCAAGCCAAGTGGATCTCACATTCACCCGATGTGAGTCTCTTTCTCTTGTACCTGAGCTGACACTCAGAGTGGGAACAAAGGGAAAAGTTTCCTGGAGCCTGTGTGGACCTCTGTGAGGGCCACTCCCACGGAAAAGTGACTGTTTCCTGGCCCAAGATAGATCTGTAGGCAGGGCGCGGTGGCTCATGCCTGTAATCCTAGCACTTTGGGAGGCCAAGGCAGGTGGATCATGAGGTCAGGAGTTCGAGACCAGCCTGGCCAACATGGTGAAACCCCATCTCTACTAAAAACACAAAAATTAGCTGGGCGTGGTGGCACGTGCCTGTAATCCCAGCTACTTGAGAGGTTGAGGCACGAGAATCACTTGAACCTGGGAGGCGGAGGCTGCAGTGAGCTGAGATCACACCAATGCACTCCAGCAGGGGCAACAGAGTGAGATTCTGTCTCGGGGAAAAAGCAAAAAATAAAATATAGATCTGTAACTCTGAATGTCTACTTGAGAAGGCATCCTGGTGGGTGTTGCAGCATTTTATTTGAACTTCAGGCGTTCATTCTAGATTTATTTTTGTTTCATGATTATTTTAGATTGGAACTGTGCTCTTGACCTGATACTGACCTAGGGCAAAGGTCATGGCCTCTGCCAAGTCTCCCTTGTTGTTCCCAGGGTTCTGTGACCTTGAGCCCTCAATACCTCATATATATATTCAGGACTGGAACTGTCACAGTGGATTGTAATCATGAGTGTTATTTCTTTCTAGACAGTGATTTCTGAGGGCCAGGATTGAAGCTATTTGTAAGTGTCAGCCCTAGTCGATTACTTGGTACATATCAGGTGCTTAATGAAGTGTATCAGTGGAATGCTTTCAGAGCTGTAAATATTAGGAAAATATTCCAGAAGTGATGTGGAACAAGAACAGAAATGCCATACACCCTGCACCCAGTAAACATTCCCTTCTAGTGGGACCCTGTGCTGATCTACTCAGGGGGTGAGGTCCTCACCTCCCACACTCCAAAAGAGAACACATTTCCCCTTTGCAAAATTATTTAGCAGGTGTTATGGCTGAACTATACCCCTACAAAATGCATATGATGAAGTCCTAACCCCCAGGACCTCAACAATGGGACTGCGTTTGGAGATAGAGCCTTTGAAGAGGTAACTGGTTAATTAAGTGAGATCATAGGGTGGGCCCTGACCCAATATGACTGCTATCCTCCTGTAAAGAGATGAGGACACAGAGGCCCACAGGTGGAAGACTATGTGAGGACACAGCAAGAAGGCAGCTGTCTGTAAGCCAAAGAGAGAGGCCTCACCTCAGAAGAAATCAACCCTGCCCTGTAGCACTGTGAGAAAAAAATGTTTGTTGTTTAAGCTCCCCAGCCTGTTGCATTTATTAACAGCAGCCTGAGCTAAGACACCAGGTAAGAAGAAAAAGGTTGGGAGGCGGGCTGGTTCATTGAAATGAGTTATGAACAGAGGTCAACAAACATATAGGAATCAATATAAACAGCATTACCTGCATGCCAAGGCCCAGGAGGAAGTGTGAGGATATCAGGAAAGGACAGTCCCTGGAGTCCCATAAACACTGCAGCTCCACCATCACAGCTTCCTGGCCTCCTTCCATTCCCACCTGGGAAATAGGATGTGCTTTCAGAAGCTGCACTCGGGAAACATCAAACTACATGTGCCATTTGAAAATGTTGATTATAATTATAAAATAATATATGTTCATTTAGAGATATAATTTAGAAAATACAGAAAAGTATCAAGAAGAAAATTAAAATCACCTAAAATCCTATGACAGCAATATAATCACTATTAATATTTTGATATGTTTCCCTCCTGTATTTTTGCCATACCATAAATAGATCTGTATATGTTTACACCATACCATTTTTCATGTTTTATCAAAGAGGGAAATGTTATTTTCAAATTACATTTTATTAACATGTCTAAAAATACAAATGGAACATCACTTTGAAGGCTAGAGTCGATTTAGATCTAAATATATATTTTAGAGACAGAGGTCTTGCCATGTTGCCCAGGATGGCCTCAAACTCCTGGGCTCAAGAGATCCACCTGCCTCAGCCCCCTAATTAGCTGGGACTATAGGCGAGTGACACCACACCAGACACTAGTGCTGATTTTCATTTGCATGACTTTGTTAAAAAGAAAAAAAAAAAAAGGATTTTGTTTTTCTTTCTAATGCAAAAGGAATGGAAATGCAACATAGTGTAAATACTTAGTGTCAAACCTTCCCTTTCCAAATACAAGAAACTGTTAATAACAGGGAAAAGGACTTTTATTTTTAATGCCATATTGATGTTTTGTACTATTTAAAATTTTTGCTATGAGCATGCATTACTTCTATAATATAAATACTAAAAATTTAAACATTAAATTCTAAACATAAACATTTTCTTAACTGTTAAAAATCAGGTCCTAGCGCAGTGGCTCACGCCTATAATCCTAGCATTTTGGGAGGCAAAGGAGGGAGGATGGCTTGAGCCCAGGAGTTCAAGACCAGCAACATAGTGAGACTTCGTCTCTAGAAAAATAAATAAATAAATATTCAAATAAAATCAACTCATATTTTAAGAAGTGTATGATATTCAGGATATGCATAATTTTTCAAAACAATGAGAAAATGATCAAATAGGAAAAACACTCAGAAGACATTCAAACAGGTTTTTTTTTTTTTTTTGCTAACTAGAAATCAGATTCTTACTTTCTCCAAGGTGTTATATTTTGCAATTTCAAAATCTTGAGGAAGATGAGAAATTTCAACATTCTCTGTACCAAACCTGAAATTTGTACAGTGTATAATTAAAATTTTAACATTAAATGGATTTTAGGCTAAACAGAATTTCATAAATTTTTTCTTGTACATCTTTACAAAATACATGATAGATTCCTTACAAAATACATGATAAGTCCCTAAGGCCTCCTTAGCTATTCCAGAAATTGTTAAAAGATCATTTGAAATGAGCTAGATGCCTCCTCTGCATAATTCTCCAGCTCAGATACCCAGTACTGTAGCGTCTGCGCAGGAAGATGGTGTGCACGCAGCACAGGCAGAGGCAGAAAGAAGTGGGCCACACACTCTGGGAATGGGCTACTTGTGTTCGCTTTGGATCTGACTCTTAGAAGCTATGTCACTCCTCTCCAGACCACAGTCCATTCCTCTCTCAAATAAAGGAGTCAGACTTCTCACAATCTGTACTTTTCATTTTGGATTTTCTTCTCTTTAAACACTATTATTAACAAATATAACAAGATTGAATGTGATGCTTAATTAACCCGACGTTTTGGGTATGCTTTAAGAAGCCATATAGAACTCCCATACTCCATTTGAGGATGACTGTTGTTATTTCCATTTTTGAAAATATCAGGCAAAAGTAACTGTCTTTAAGGGCTGCTCAGTAAAGTAATAGGATGAAAATAGGTAGGTTTGTTTTTTTTTAAAAAAAAAACCCACTGGTTTTTCTTTTTAAAAATCAATTAATCTAATAATTGTACCCAATCTCATTTAATACTGAGAATTTAAAATAATGATCACTATACTAGTTGAAGTAAAGAGACTCAAATAAAAAATCACTAAAGAGTTAGATATGCAAAATAAAACATGAAAAAGTCTAGAAACATAATTTTAATACTGTACTTGAGGTTTACACAAGGTTTGCAAACTCTGTAGAGTCCTGGGGATCAGAAAGAAGTAAATTATTCAGTGAGTTCCACAGTGTCTTCATCCTCTGTGGCACTGTCCGGGCATAGACCTTCCGTTTTCACTTCTAGAATTAAAGCAAACAGCACACTTGTTTACTGCCCAAAGGCTTATTATAATTAGTTCACCTAAGTGCTGGAATTGTTAAGATTCATAAATATATCCTTAAATTAGTTATAATTTTGGTGATCTACAGATAACCCAGTGGGAAAAGAGGAAGGTATAATATTATAACAGGAAGGTATAACATTATAAGATAGTGAGAACATACTCTAATTCTATCTTAATAGGCATATCAGGAGAATTCTCATCTGTTATTTGAAACTCACTGACAGCCATACAATTTTCAATGGGCACTTTCCTCTTGAAGAGTACAAAGTGCACAGGATCAGAATGAGTTCCTGAGAGTCGGCACATCACGAGCGGAGGGGCTGGAGATGTTCTAGCTTAGAGGAGGGAAAGTCAAGGGCTCTACATGAGCTTTTGCTTCATACTTCTTGTACAGAGAAACAGTAACACTATCTATAGCATTGTGATATACAGGAATAACTCTTAATGTGAGGACTTCTTTCCAGTTTTAATTATACTGTCAAGATAATTTATACTGTCTTGTTAGATTCTTTTCATACAATTGAATTGTGCCTTTTGTAAAAAGAATTCTTCTTTCTTGTAATGTACAACATGTAAAATACATGGCCCCTTTTCACCTGAAAAGCAGTATGATATGGAAGGGCATAGGGACAAAAACACACAAACAAAAACTCTCACCAATATAATTGGAACCACAGCAGAAACAAATACAAAGCACCTACTGTATGCAGGAAACCTGCTGGGCCTTGGGGTACCTGCTCCAGCTGATTTCCATGACAACCCGAAAGACCAGGACACAGGTGAGGAGACTGAAGGTCAAAGAGGTGTGGGCCTGTGGCAGGTGGCAGCAAGGGCCACAGAAGGCCTGTGCTTTCCTCATGCTCTTCTCAGAGACGGGTTCTGCTCCTGTCTGCCCTCTGCAGCCCACTTGGGTTGGCACCATAGAAGCAGCCTCGCCCCAGTTGCAACAAGGCCACCAGTGCCAGCACAGGAGCCATCTGAGTCCTCAGGAGGGGTCTACCAGCAGGCACTTGTGGGCCTCATCCAGGTGGCCACCAGGGTGTTGGCCACCAGAAGGTGCAATACGTCCTCCACATCCAGCTCATTGGCAGAGTGGCCAGCTGGTGCATGCTGTGGGGCTTCCCTGTGGGGACAGTGGCTCAGGATGGGCCGGCTCCTTCCCCACACCCCCTCGCCTACCCAGCTGATTGGGCCACAGGTAAACTGTCCCTATGCACCTGGCCTGGGTAGCTTCCTTCCCACAGGACTGTAGAGACCTGTGTCCCTTTGGAGAGACTCCCACGCCATGCCATCCCCCAGAACCCACAGCTGCACCTTCCGGTGTGCAGTCATCGACCCTACCTTCCCCTCAATCTTCCCATCGCCCTGTGGGGGAGGCACTTTAAGGATGACAGAACTGAGGTTAATGGCGCATGCTCAGCAGCGGCTGACCCTGAGCAGGATCCTACATCATTCCTTTTCCGCAGAAATTTGGATTAGCAACATGGGCGTTGCTGGGCTCTCGGACCCATGGTTGTGTTTGTAGGCAGAATAAGGTAACACAGGGGCTACACGTGGGATGTGTCTGTGTCCACGTGGGAATGTTGGCAATGTTCATGAATTCTCACTGGGAAAAGGAGCCAGGGCCTCATTTTGGCAATTTCCAGATACAGATATAATGGCCTCAAATTACATAAAACTTCTTCCTCACCAGCAAACCAAAGCCACACAAATTAAGCACCTGGGAGGCAGAGGAAATGTGTGTGTGTGTGTGTGTGTGTGTGTGTTTGGTGGGGTGGGGGTTGACATTAATGATGCCCCCAAGACATCCCCAGTCTCAGTAGTTTTAACATTGCTCAAACTCCTTCCTGTCACCTTCCAGCAGTCAGAGGAGTACTCATCAAAACAGCTGAGGGTTCACCCATTAGGTTGACAAAGAATTTGCAAAGTGAGCATCAGGGCTGGGTGAAGGATGAGAGGTGACCAGATGGTTAGGGGGACAGCTCCTGAAGTTAAGGATCCTACAGGTTGCAGTGTTCCCTGATCCAGGAGCTCTATATCTGTCTCTATCTTAAGGACAAAACACCGTGGAGACAGGAGGTCACTCATGATGTGTTACAACTAAGAGCAAAAATCTAGGACTCTCCAAAGAAATAACAGCACGTGCATAGGCCGGGCCATGGGGCTGCCAGGAAATATAATCAGCAACAAAGGAGATTTTCATAATCTATTGAGGATAAGAGGTAGGATATAAATGACATCTACCGCACAAACTCAGTTTTCTGAGATATATTTTATATGCACACACAAAAAGACCAGAAGGAAATGTGAGCAGTGGGGAAAGGGTAAGTTTCATGTTCCCTTTCCATTTCTGAGTTTCTAAGTTTCTGTGGAGAGAAAGTCCATGATACATCATAGTATTTGAGAGGGGGGATCCTAAAATTGAAGCCCTGGAGCTAAATCTGCCGTGGCTGCTGGGGGAAATCACTCCAGCACTCTGCCTCAGTTTGCTCACCCATAAAATAGAAAAACATCCTTCCTTACCTCAAAGGAGACCAGAATGCAACCGAAGCCCCCATGCATGCCCTCTGGCCAGCTTATGCTCTTCCTACGCAGTAGGGCTGTCTATGTCCACAGCCTTATGCCCTGTGCCCTCTAAAACCCTGAGTCGGGTCTGAGCTGGAGCATCCTGCAGCCCTCCTCCTGCAGCAGCCCCCCGCTGGTTTCCAGGTACATATGCCTTGGAGGCCAGCAGTTCCTCCTCCAGTCACAGCCTGCATGTGGTGACACAGTCCAGTGTGCCCAGAATGCACTGCCAGCCAGCACCCGCAGCAGCCCGCAGCTGCACAATTACACGCAGCTGTCTGGGTGTGGCGCCTCCTGATCCACCACCTCTTGGAAGTCTTCCTGGATGCACCATGAATTTCCTGCTGGCCAGCAATGTCCTCAGCCTTTGGGTGCCCCAAGATGAAGTCCTGGAGGGTGCTGACCATACAAGGAGGTAGGGGCATGGCAGCTGAATGTAGCCAGGGGGAAGGTGATGTGAGGCTGGGAGTGCTCAGGATGAGGTGCTGGTCTCTTGGCAGAGGCAGGCCATGAGTTCCTTGGCTGACATCATGCCCATGGCCCTGATAGGCCCATGTCCAGTCCTCATGACACCTGGGGGACAGAGAGTGCGGTCAACGCACGGGTCAGCCAGTCCATGCCCCTGTGGCCACCCACGCCCAGCCTCAAGCCACCTCCTGCTCTCTCCCAGTGAGACCCCAGAGTCCATGTAGACCCCACTGCATGAAAACTGGGGGATCTAGCTGTTAAGGGGCATTTGTGGTGCTCCCTCCATAGGTGGTCTCCATGAGCTGGGGATGGGGTCTACCAGGCCCACTCCCAGCCCACTGTTTACCTCGTGGGCCTCAGCTTCCTCTTCTGCAGAAGGGAACGGTGACCCTGCCCAGCTTAGTTCCCTCTAAGAACACCTGACCCCTGAGTGCCCACATGGATAGGGTCTGGGTGGCCTGAGGGGTCAGGGCCCAGTGATAGGACCCTTGCCCGCACCCCTCACCCCTCCCAGCACCGGGCCACGCAGGAAGGCAGAACTCCCCAACCCCAACCCCTGTCAATCCCAGGAGCCTTGTCAGCTGGACCCAGGGCCACACCTCTGCCCACCGGCTCACACCTCGGCCATGCAAGGCAGGGTGGATGCACCTGCCTGGCCCTTAAGCGCGTGAGGGAGCCACTGCTGCCCACTTGGAGGCTCAGTTCTGAGGTCGGGATTCCAGGCAGTCCCTTCTCCCGCATTCCCAAACCTCCTGACTGGAAGAACACTCTCCGCACAGCCTTTTTTTTCGGGGTTCCAAAGTGCCTGTGAGCAGGCAGCTCCCGACCTCCTCTCTGTGACACCCACGGACTCAGATCCCCATGTGCTCACTCATGCGGACAGGCGCTGTCGCCTGCGGCTCTGAGGCTGAGCCGGCTTTGCCTTGATGAAGGACAAGGCCCTGGCGACCCAGATTCTCTCGTGGGTGGCTGGGGACAGAGGGGCGGTGGCGCGCTGGGCCGGCTGGAGTCCTGCAAGGATGCTGCCTCCAGGTGTGCTTGTGGGTGGCGGATCCCAGGGCCTCCCGGAAGAGTGTCCGCTCCTCGGGAGGCCTGGCTGCTCAGCGGCGCCCCTCTGTGGTGAGACTCGCCCAGGTCCATGTCTGGCCCACCTCGCCCCAGCCAGGCTCCCCTGGGCAGCCTCAGGGCAGAGAACTCTGAATTCACAGGGAGGCTGGAGGTGTGGGGCCTCTAGGCACCCGCAGGGTGGAGCTACCCCACACCCAGGGCTCACCCTCAGCCCTACCCAGGCGTCCCTAGCCTCACGCTCCCAGAGGTGAGGAGGGGGTACATTTTTATGTTGACAAAGACCTTCCTATGAATGCATTCTGCCGTTGATTTAGAAAACAAAAATTAAAACCTCCCCTTACATCAGAAAAAAATTAACAAAATAAAAGACAACATACTTGCAAAATATTCACATTATATACATAAATGTAGACATATATTATTTGTAATGAAAAATGTATCTTCCTTTTACACCAGAATTTTTAAAAAAAGAAATAAAAACTATAATTTAAAATTGGTCAAAGTACTTTTTCCAGATCTACTAGTGATCTGGAAAATCAGTAGTTATTTATACCACTGCTTAAAGTTTAAGTTGCTGTTAACTTTTTAAATAAACAATTTTGGGTGTGAACATCACTCTGAAAAAAGAGTATGTATCCTTTACCCATTAATTCCATTATACTAAAATATTTTCAGGAAAAATTAGAGATGCATACAATTCATTTTTCTCAAGCACTGCTTCTAATAGCAATGTATTAAGGAGAGGGCAAATAAAGGATTTTATAAATAAATTTCAGTGCATCCATAGGATGAAATTATATGTAACTACTGAAGGTGGCAATAGATTGGATGTGGTGAACAT